CACTCCTCAATTTCAACCGCCGATTTCCTCACTTTTTTTTGGCACAAAGCCCACAAAGCCACGGCCCGAATATTATCAAGCCCAAACACTCATCATCAAGTCATGCACCCGACCATCGAGACGATCGACAATGTAGAACATTCCACTCAGACCGGCTTACCTTCAACCGAGCCGATGATCTCCAGCTCGAAGGAAGACCGAAGAGATGACCAAGAAGATTCAGACCGGTCGATGGAGATCGGCTGTTCGTCAGCCGACTCGCTCTCCCTCTTCAGGTCCTTCTCCATGCCCATCCATATCTCCTCGACCACTGGCTCTGACCAGGAAGAGCCACTCGACCGCGCCCAGGAGGACGTCAATCAGGACGAGGAAGATGAGGACTTTGACGAGCTCCTGACCACTCCCACCTCCCAACTCCAATTACACGACCCATCCAGTTACCCTTCTTATCAAGTCAGTCATCTTCTCCTTCTTGACCATCCCCTCGGAGTTTGGGACTGACGATTCCGTTTCTTTTCACCCTTACTTTTTCGTTGTTCGATTGTGATATCACAGTCGAGTGGCCAAAGGCTATTATCATGTTCACTTCCGCCATCGCTCAGCAGTCAAAAGAGCAATGGATTAGATATCCATCAAGAGTATCCATTGAACGAGTTACTTCAACTCACTCAGCCGATGAGAGAAGGCGTGATTTCTCGGGAAAGACTCTTGCCCTCATCCAGGATGAAGCAAGTTGGGATAGGCGGACGAGGCCGTCGAGACTTCTCGAACCAACGAAACCCAGGTTGTTCCTCACCATTTGCGAACCATCTCTCGAGCGCAGGGGCCGAATGGTCTGCTACTTCGCCCACTAAACCCGACCAAGCCAGCTGGTCTCCCGCCTCATCTTGCTCGCCTTTACCCTCCTCTACCTTCAACCATCTTAGCTCCAGCGTCGGTGGTAGTTCTGCTAACAGTCAGCCAATCCTCGTCACCCCTCAGTTCGCTAGTCCTACCCCGCTCGTCAGACCTAGACCTATTGCCGCTTGGCAGAAACCTCATGGTTCTTGGTCTTTTGGTTCTTCATGAATCTATCCTCTTCTTCACACTTATTAAACATCCCCTTCAAATTCTTCTTCTAGCTTTAGTATCTAAGCTCACAACGATCCCCACTCACTGCCCTCTTCACCTTTTTCAATAATATATACCGACCTCTTTCCATCATCTTCTTTCCTTGTATCGCTTACACTTCTTGAGTGTGTATCAGTTGTTGACATATACATTTATCTATTATTGCAGACAGATTTTTTCAGTTCACAAAACATAAGCAGAAAAAAGAATGTAGAACATGTTTGCAATTTTTTTATCATGTTTTTCTTTGTCGTTGTCTTTGGTACTAAATCAGATCTCTCAAGATGTTGATGTATCCTAATCCCTCTCCCTTTCTGTCACTTTTCTTTCTTTTTTCCTTTTTTTCCCTTTTTCCCTTTTTCCTATTTCCAATTCCTTAATTATTATCATAGTATCAACATCAAATCACGCCAGAATCTACTTCTTTTTTTGTTCTTTGATGTTGTTGTCTCTTCTGTTTCCTGTTTTCCTTTTCATTCCTATTTATTCATTATTGTCACCCAAAACAAAACAAAAAAACATGTAACCCCACCAAAAAAGTCCCTACTCATTCTCTCTCTTCACTCATTTTTCTTTCCTCAGAAAAAATATATTACTAACACTACAAACAATACCGATTTTGCCCCAGGAAAAAATGGCAATTTGGTTGGTGGAAAATAGGTCACTTTCCTGAGCATTTTTTTACAAAATGACTCAGGAGTAAAAATTAAGCTAAAATGAGCTATTTTAGCCAAAAAATAAAAATGCCTCAAATGAGCTAAAAATTAATTTTGGAAAGTTTGAGGCATTTTTATTTTTGGGCTAAAATAGCTCATTTTAGCCTGATTTTTACTCCTGAGGCATTTTGTAAAAAAAGCCTCAGGAAATTGAACAATTTTCCACCACTCAAATTGCCATTTTTTCCTGGGGTGAAACTGGTATTGTTTGTAGTGTAAAAGACTTTCTAAACACAATCATCTTATAAATCACAACTTCAAAATACACATCTCTGTTTTCTTCCCTCCCCCCCTTTGTATCTCTTTTGTTCTGTCAACTCCTTCTAAACCCTCCACTCAATCTTTTTTTCTTCTTCTGCTTTAAAAGTCTTTCTGTAAGAGAAGATACAGTTCCTTCTTCTTTCTTTCCTCTCACACTTTTTTTTTGATATGTTTTGTTCAATTTTTATCATCTTTGTCATCATCCCCACCCTGCTTTTATTTCTATAAGTTTTGCAATTGTAGTTGTTTCAGATGTGGCAGTCACCCTTCATGTTTGTCTATCTGAATTTTTGGATGTTGTGGTTTGAGTGGGCTTAGTACTGCATGCATCACACTTTTGTCCTCCTTCAATCTTATTGTCTCAAGCTCTTTTCATTCTGGAAAAAAAAATCTCCCCAAACTTGCAGCCGTTGGTGTGCAAATCGTTATTCACAATCTTAATTGTTTTGTAAATGCTACCTATATTTCCAAAGTGAATAGTCTGACTTGAGTAGCATTTGAACAGTAACATCTTATTGCAGATTCTGAATCTACAGGTAAATTAACCTAGGGTACCCCTTAATTACCACTCCTTCTGCTTCACATACTTCTGTGACACCTGAGGGACACCAGACCTCTTTTACATACTGAACCCTCCCAGTTACATCATACCATAGGTTGTAACAGTGCTACATGAGTAATTAAGGTTGATGCAGTCTAAGAAAAACCCACAAACAAGGTTTGTGGTATTTGAAACAGCACACAAGATAACCTGAAAGGGGGGAACCTCTGTTGTTTTCACAATTACTGGAAACATAAGAAAATCCTATCACATGCCTTCCTCCACTTGACCATTTTGGGAGATGATGATGATATCCACCACAGATCTCACTCACAAATACACCCTCTGCAGGG